GACAGAGAGGATGCCTATGGGTTGTGGCAGAATCCATGTGGGAGGAAGTCTGGCCAAGCCATGTGTATCTAAATGCTATTCAAAGCAAAGCTGAAACTTTGTTCTGAGGCCAGCACTTCAGTCTGCTGGGGCTCTTCAAAGAATGCTAAGCAAAAGGAGCTTATAACCAGATCCACTGGATTAAGAAAAAGAGTCAGAATAAAAAAGAAAAATAGTTTGGGGATAGTTTAAGATTTGGATTGTCTCCAATGGGATTTAGGAAGAGGCTACAGCAGAGTAGTAGAGCAGATGCTTTTCCTGCAGAAGGCCCTGGGTTCAATTGCTCATCTGCAAGTTATAACAAGAACAGACAAAAAGGTTGCATTGCTGCAAGTCCTTGAAGAGCTGCTTCCAGAGCAGACAATACTTTTCTGTGGCTTGATTCCTGTAAGGCATGTGCTTATTTTAAGATATTTTTGCCATTTGCTCTGCCCTTTTTGCCTTTAGCCCCACCAGCCACCACTGGAATGTGGGTGGCAAAATCTTTTCTGAAATGGAATTTAGCCCATGAACTGGGGGAGATTCTGTACCCCAGTCCTAGGGGCTTAGTCCCATTGAATGCAGCAGGACTCACTTCTACGTAAACCTGTACAGGGCTGCACTGTACTTAATCTAAGTCATGGTGCATGGAGTTTAGTTAACTTTCTCAGCCAATGCGTGTCATGGAGAGAGGGCTAAAGAGTACAGGAGGGCTATATCCACCACTCCTGTTGCTTCAATATGTGGAGCTCGTGTGTTAGGAAAGCAATAAAGCCAGCAGTAGGGGTGCAAAGGAAGGGGCAGGGCCCTTCTTGCTTTTCCTCTCATATACTGATTATCCAGAAGAGAGGGCAGAACATCCAAATAAGACTAATGACAATAATATCAAATAACTAGCATGTGTGAATGGGACGGCACAGCCATATTCCTCTAAACACAGTGACTTTCAGTGGACCAAGTTCACAAATTCAGCAGAGCCATCTGCTGCCACCAAAATCAATCAATCAATCAATAAAGCAAAATAAAATAAAATAGTCAAGTGATGTGCCAGAATGTGCAAACACGGCACTGCGGCTACTACTTACACTACCCTTCATATGGGACAAAAGAAATGCAAACAGCAGTGTGCAGCGTAAGGGGAATGTGCTACATCCTATTTTAAAAGGATTCGAAGATGTCAATTCTGTGAGAGGGTTTTAAAAACCTGATAACTGTAATAGTCAGACATCTGTACATAGGTTCAAGAAACTGTGATATCTATGCATAACTAAAAGCTCATTTGCACAACTGAAGCAATATTACATGCCAAAACATTGTTTTGCTGTGCCAGAGGCATTGGGCAAGGGGCAGGGGTGATTGGGTTCATAAACATGAGGATCCAAAGAGCAGGGGAGAAACAGAACCTTTTGCCCAGAAATTCAAGGTGATGGAAGACTGGTTTCAGTACTCTCAATAATTTTAAACTGATTTAAGACTTGGCCATAAACACATCATACATCACAACAGCAACACATCAGTCCTGACAGCCTGGAAGTGTTGCTTTTAAACAAAGATCAAGTCACTGGTAGAGAATATTCTCATCCAGTGTAACTATGGTTTCTTTGGCCAAGCGCCTGAGAAGAAGCCACAAAATGAATCTGAGGAATTTGTAGGCCATTTTGCTCCCTTTGCTTTGCATGCTGCTATTCTGTTAGCTGCTCAAAATAAAAGATGAAGGCACCTCACACCCCAAACACAGGACACTGGCTGTATGAAAATAAAACTACAGTCTCTTATTATTAGACAATAAGAATCTATTCAACCTGCATAGGTAGATTTCCTTGTACTGATGCATTTTGAAATGTCTCTAATGTCATTATAAATAATATAATATTATAAATTTCTATATGATCTTGGTCTTATGTTTCTTGTGTTTGTATTTCTGTTACAGGAAAGATGTGAGGCCAAGGCATGTATTTCAAAATTAGCCATTTCAGGCTTGCAGTTTCTTCTCCAAAAGCTGAAGAAGGTGGAAGATATCTGGTCATGATTGGGGCCATGCTGTCAAGGCAGCACTAATTTTATCTTTTGCCTCCATTATGGCCCTGATCCAGACTATAATTGTATAAGTGCCATTATCTTGTACTATAGTTCATACCCAAGAAATGTAACTCGTTACATAGAAGAAATCTAGCTTTTTCCTTCTCCTTGAAAAGCATTGCTATTTTTACATTTTCCACAAGTAGGAGCATGTCAGCTTCTTCCCCGTCTGGTGATAAGGGTGCAGTCACCAAGTTGGTGTGGAATTTTAAAGACACCCCCTCCCCATACACACATACAGAAGAGAGTAGCTCTAATTGAACTGAGCTTTTAATTGCACTTATACAGGGTTCTTATCTATAGCATGTGATCAAGGATGATTAATACAGCTGTAACACCTTTTTAAAAGGACCCTTTTCATTAATTTAAAATCCATTTAAAAATATTACCTGTATATCCTATTCTCACCATCCAGCTCCATCCAGACTGCTGATCAGTTTAACTGCTATTCAGCTTCAGTAATGGAACATATGTCAAGGCAGTCTATTTGTCTCAGTGGCACTATCTGACTCCAGAGACTGAAGCAAAACATGGCCCATCATCTTCTCTGCCTGACCATTTTCAGTGGAGATGGGACCTCACCTGGGTCATTTTGCATGCCAAGTATGTGCCTGGTCACCAAGCTCTGGTCCCTTCTCTTTCCCATTATACTTATGTCCACCATTTTTTCCCCCTGAATGGAATGCAAGGAAGCTTATGGAATCCTCCTCCTCCTATTTATTTCATCCTCCCAGCAGTCTTATGATGGAGCTTACGCTGAGTGTCATTGACTGGTCCAGAGTCATCCAGGGAGCTCCATGTCCAAGTGGGGATTAAAATGTGGATCTCCCAAGTCCCAGTCCAATTCTAATTGGTACACCACCCTTGACAAACCATATTCTTACTCGCCCTGTGAAGTCTGTGCTGTACCTTTAAACACCCCTAACTGCTTACTCTAATATGCCATTCTTCTACCTCTTAACTTTGCCTGGCCAGCCAGTACCAATCAGAGTCAACAATACTGGGTTCAATGTACAAATAACCTGAGGTGATATAAGGCAGTATCCTATGTTCCTTCTTACAGCAGGTAGAATTGGGCTGGATGATGAGTAACTTGCAGTCATACTGATTTCAATGTGTCTCCCGTGAATATGATTAAGTTTGGATCCAGCTGACAAGAGTTCAGTTATTTGGGCATCACAGCAGGAAAGATCCTCTTCCCAGCAGCCATCTGGCCAATTTTAAAATGAGAAGGGTCTTTGGAGAGGTTCCTAATTAATGAGCAGGTTCACATGGGTGAAGTAGAGCTGTTATATCAGGGATGCAATAGTTCAGCCTCATGGTTCAAGTCTGGCCCTCCGAGATTCCCCTGAAGGCCACCCCCCACTACAACCAGTGCTCACTTGCAGGTTTCCCAGATTTGGTGCAATTTTCCCTGTTCCAAAACACTGAACTGCTTCTCCTAAGGCTTCTTAGCTGCAATGGCATTTTTTTTGTATTTTGACCCCTCCCTTTTGCCTACTGCTACTACTGGAATATGCCTGCCAAGAGCTCCTCTAGAAACGCTTGGGCTGAAAGCAGTTCTGCACTCTTGCATTAAATACCTCGGCCTTGGGCCATTTAGGGATTTATAGGCCAAAACTAGCACTTTGAACTGAGACCTTGGAGTGTTAGACTACAGCAATCAAGTGTCTGCAGCAGCAGTCAGTCTATGTTCATAATCAGGTCACTGTAGTCTATGCCAGCTGACATTTCTACATGTTCTTCAGAAAGTCTGTCATACACCACAGAACACAAATCTAGCCTAGAAATTATCAGGCATAGGTCAGGGTGGCCAAACTACCTCAGCTGGCACATCAATTGAAGTTTGTGGAAGGTGCTGCAAGTTACAAATGGGTGAGTAATCTACATCCTCCCGCTAGATCTAAAAGCACCCCCACCTCCAGCATAAACTTGGTATGTGCAGCCTCATGCAGAACTAGTCAAATACCTGTTCTTTGGCTTGCTAAGTTCTTAACCAACAGCACTTTTTAATCATGTGTTTATTATCCCTCTGCCTATTACTAAATAAACAACAGTGCTTGCTAACACAATCCAATACTGGGGGTCTAGAAGGATTCCATGGTTGATGTATCAAAGCCACAGAGAGGTCCAAGAGGATCAACTGTAAATAATTATCTGCCATTCTCACAGCATACATAATCCACTGGGATATATTCCATTATATGGCTCAAGCCAGTACTGATTTAAAGCCAGGCTGGCAGCCAGGCTAAAATAGGCTCCAAAAGGCCAGTTTGATCTAAGAATGTCTGGCTCTGAGCCCTCATCATGTGCCTGTCCTCCCCAAACTCAGTATACTTTATGGGGAACACTCAGCTAAATACAATGGTCCTAATGTGGTTAAGCACTGATTCACACACACTTTTTATGGCATTCTGTGACCTCCTGGACATTCATAACTCCTTTCTCTCTTTGTTCCAGCTCTTCTCTCATTAATTTACACCCACTAACCCATCCATATGTTTCACAGCAGTATATCAAAACACATAGGCAACTGCTTTGCCATAGATGCAACACTTTCCGATGGCTCTTCCACACTCAAAATATTATGTGGACCAGAACACCAAGTGATAATTTGCATGTGAATGTGTGAAATAGCACCACATGTCCAATGCCACAGACTCTAAGCACCTGCTTATCAATGAAGGCAATCCACATGTTCTGCTCTGAGTGCCACAGATGTGATGCAACATGACATCTTAAAGGAAAGGTGTTCGTAAATTAATCCTTAAATGGCCACACATAAGTATAGGATTATATACTGTTTCAGAAGCAAGCCATTAGGGTTATCCCCCACCCCACCCGCCCACCAGCATTTCTCATTCTGAAAAGCAAATGTAAAATTAAAATCTGCAGTATTTTACCTTATATACATTGATAGGGATATCTATGACAATATAGATGAGGTCTCCCAGTGCCAGGCTAGCTATCAGTGCATTGGGGCCATTCCTCATACATTTATTCTGGTAGATAATTCTCAGCAGAGTTGCATTCCCAACAAGCCCAATGATGAAAACTGCACAGGATATTACTGTATTGATGTATTTGAAAGTGCCATCAATTCTAGGATTGTGGGTGCAAACGCTGTAATTTCTGTTGGGGCGACTGGTGTGGAGGAGCACTTTAGATTCTTTTCCAGCAAAATCACTTCTAGAGTATGTCAGGTTTGAATGGGATCTGTCAGAATGATCGCTGATGACGGATCCAGTCACTAGAAGTGCCAAAATGATTGTGAAATGAATTGTTTCCATCTTCAGATCTTCAGTCCCAGAGATGGGTATGATGATATTTCAATGTTTTATCTTTCACTTTCACCTGCAAAGAAAGCAATGAATGGTTTACATTGCAAGATCAGCACACTAATCAAAGCATAGTTATTTATTTAAACTATAAAAGAGGAATCATGTTTTCATTTTGAAAAGGAGATAATCAGCATTTTAATCCTAGTAAACTGAAAGGTAACTTTTAATATTAATTATTTATTTCTATAAAATGTAAACTAGGTCTATAACCATACAATAACAAAAAATTGAAATCACAGAAACCGCAGTCAAAAGTCAAAAGCAAAGCAGATACATCTAACTTAAAAGCAATATCCAAAGATTTCCTGCTGATAAAAGAAATTTTGCAGCCTATAAAACACATCCAAAGCCCATTTATTTGTAAGTTTTACAGAAGCTTCTTTATTACAAGAATGTTTGCTTCCACATAATATATTGCATACACAAAATGGAGCAACCTTGCATTTTGGCGTCTCCTTCCCTATGGAAGGGGCATTTTGCCTCCCTCTTCTGTGCCTCCCTGAAAATACTCCAGCAAGTTGGTGGACCCTCTAGAATAATACAGGAACTGGCATGGGAAATTAGCAGAAACAGACTCCTCTCATTTCCATTTGTGCAGGAAGAGACATACTAACCCAGTGCATTATAATGCATTGTTTATATTCACTGTAGACTTTTCTTTTCTTTATGTATCATTACACATTTCCCTGAAAATTGTGCTGGTTGTCATGACATCTGTGACACTAAAGTTAGCACATTTAGTACATTTTTTACAATCAGTGTCAATGGTTTATTTGCAATACTTCCATTCTGAATTATAATTGCACCATGATCATCCTAAACATATTTATTTGGAAGTAAATTGCATTGATTTGAATCATTTTTTTCCCAACTCCCATGCAGGTAGGATCATAAAGAGAAATTCAGACTTAGGAAGTAAATTGGGTGACCTAAAACTTTTGGCTGTGTGGAGATTAGTAAGACGACTTTCCTTAGTCTACAGAAATGTCTGAGTCCCCACCCCCCCTTTTATTTGAAGATGTAATGGTTAGTCACCAAGTCAACAAGGTTGCTATATGCCACAAGACAAACTTAAATACAACACCCTGATTAGAATCACGTAAACCAAATGATTCCTTTCCTATGTGTCATGATGCTTCATCTTTCTTCAGCTTGCCTTGGGAAATACTCCCAAGCCCTCCCTGCCAATTATCATGTTGGTTAATATGGAGATAAGATGCTCATGCCATAAACTAATGAACCCATGCATAAGGCAGACCTACTTCCACCTAATAGGCAAAGGAAGAACATCTTCTTGTTTACAGTGGGAGACAATTAAGGACTTAATTTTGGCTAGATTGTGACTCTGTCCCAGTGTCCACTGGTCTTCAACATTTTAATCAATGATTTGGAAGTTCAGGAAACAATTATCAAATTTGCAGATGACAAAAAACTGGGTAGGATAGCTAATACTCTGGAAGACAGAAAGAAGATTCAAGGTGATCTTGAAAGGTTGGAGCACTGGGCTGAAAAGAACAGAATGAAATTCAGCAGGGACAAGGACCAACTTCTGTACCTATGAAAATGAAACCAAATGCATTGTTACAAGATGGGGAATACTTAGCTCAACAATAGTGCAAGTGAAAAGGACCTTAGAATCATTGTATATCATAAGCTGAATATAGGTCAACAATGTGATATGGCTGCAGAAAGGGCAAATGCTATTTTGGGCTGCATTAACAGAAGTATCACTTCCAAATCATGTGAAGTTCTAGTTCCCCTTTACTCAGCACTAGTTAGACTTCATCTGGAGTGCTGTGTTTAGTTTTGGGCACCACAGTTTAAGAAAAATGCAGACAATCTGGAAAGGACACAGAGGAGGACAACAAGGATGATCCAGGGACAGGATGCAAAGCCCTATGAGGAGACATTAAAAGAACTGGGCATGTTTAGCCTTGAGAAGAGAAGACTGAGAGGGACATGGCATCACTCTGTAAGTGCCTCAAAGGCTGTCACAAAGAGAAACGTCAAGATCTCTTCTTGATCATACCAGACTGCAGGGCACAGAAAAATGGGCTCAAATTACATAAAGCAAAATTCTGGCTAGATATAAAGAAAAGCTTCCTGACTGTTAAAGCAGTATGACAATGGAACCAATGAATCAGGGAGGTTGTGGGCTCTCGCATGCTAGAGGCATTCACGATGCAACTGGACAACCATCTGAGAGGGATGGTTTAACCTGGTGTCCTGCACTGAGCAGGGGCTGAACCCAATGGCTTTCTGGTCCCTTCCAGCCCTATTAATCTATGATTCTGTGCTTAAGGCTACTGTAATCCTGTGGCTTCTATATTGCCATAGTTCATATTCAACAGGAAAATTATGCACCAGCACATTCTGCTTTCAACCCACAAGCCTCAAATGTTTCACAAACCCCAACAAACAGTTCATGCTACTTGACAGATGGAACAGAACAATCATCAACTCCCTAATCAGAAACCTATCACACATGCTATGGACCTGAACTTAGCAGGTACAGGACCATAGATGAGTGGTAGTTTGAGAGGAGGAACAGCTAGCGGGTAATGGTTATTCCAAAGCTCCCCCTTCTGTTCTCCCACTGACACCTGTAGCACTTAGACACTTCTGTTGCTTTTGTTCAAAAAAGCATTGAAAAAGTGATACACACAGTTGAGTGCAATATATAGTTTTAAGTAGAGTTTCCTCAGTTGAAGTAAATGAGACCAATACCCCATTTGGATCTGAAATGGCCTTAGTCCAGCATGAAAGCTAGGTCCTGACTGGCAGCTGCTCTAAATGGACATAGACACAAATCTTAGACATTAAGATTAGATAGACACTACTACCCTTCTAGACAGTTTGGCCTACAACTTTCACCATCTCTCACAACTAGCTATGCTGGCTAGTGCAGATGGCAGTTATGGGCCAAAATGCCTGCAGTGCCACAAGTTGCCCACCTCTGCTTTTGATTTTTCAAGCCAGGGCTCAGCAGCTTGGGGCCCTCTAGATGTTCTGGCTTATAACTCCCATCTTCCCCAGCAAGCATAGCAAATGGTTAGAGATTATGAGAACTGTAGGACAAAACATCTATAGGGCCACAAGGTACCCACCTCTACTTTACATGGAGGAGTCAAGGGCCTTCTGTATAGAAAGCCTTTGCCATCCTAACGAATTATGGACCCTGTCCAAATGGGAATATGCTATACATCCCCTGGCTGTCACATGGAATCCACAGGCAAATCCAATAACAAAATTCTATAATAAAATAAAAATGATTTTAGCAGGAGCAAGCATCACTTGAATATCCTTCTCACTGGTGGAAGAATTCATCTTGTGATAATGGAACATCAGCTGTATATCCTACTTTAATAACAAAGGAGATCACACCACTTTTGGATCACACCAACTGTGGAATTAGTCCAGCATCCCACAAGATTCTGGAACTCAGCTGATTTTACCTCCAAGTATATGACTTGAGAAATGCAGTCCAAATTTAAACCATTATACTCTTCAGGACTGAATTACCAACTGATTTAAATCCATGTTGGTTTTAACTTTGCTGTGCACTGACTTATGTTCTCTTACAACATGTATAAGAAAGAACAAACTATGTGACCAGGAATTTTTGAAGTAAAAATTGGAAAAAATGGCATAACTTCCAAGAACACATTCTGACAGAGGTAGATAAACAGTAAAGTACCAGTGTATAGTACCAGACACTTTATGTCTGCAAACAGGCATACTAGGAAGCAAGTCCTACTAACCACAATAAGAGTCCCAAGCAAACATGTGCAGGATTGAACTGTAAAAAAGATAAGCTGGCACTTCAGACAGATTTAGTCATATTGACCATAATGCAGTGGAATGTTTGCTTAAATGCAGGTACACCAGTGGCAGTCTGGGGTGTTGTTTTGTAAGTACTATTTTTAAAAAAAGATAGTTGTGCTATTTTAGTGGTATCATTGCAGCTTATAAATAACTGACATTAATGGAACTTAGCACTTTTAACAAAGTGAGCTTGGAACTCTACCTACTGACTTCAGCACAAAAGATCGACTATCCTAAACACACTGGTTTGAATCCAGATTTAGTTGTACCTAGATCAATTCCCATGGATTTCAGTGGGTCTCCTTGAAGTTAAGCCTAAATCCGGAATCGGTCTGTTTTGCAAAGAAGAAACGGTCGTCGATCTCAGAGGAGAACCCCGGAAGGGATGTCCCAGAAGTAACCAGTTACGATTAACTCCGCAATTTCAACCCTAACCCTCAACTTGTAGTTGCGTGGCAGGATCCATTCATTGCAATAAAGCATTATTCCAAGTGTGTCTTCCATCAAGCCCGGTATCTTCTGGATCCGCTATCTCCCCCAAACCGTAGGCTAGGAAGACGCGGGATTATGGGGTGAGGGAGCGGTTTTTAAAGGGCGAACGATAGGAGGTGGTAAGATTAAACCGCCCGTCCGCCGCTGCTCTCCCTCTGGCCACCGCAGCCCGCCTGGCCGCTTTTCGCCGCGTCCCCCTGCTAGATCGAGTCTGGCCAGGCGTCTGAATTCTGCTCACCGCAGACACAGTAAAGAGTTGCTCTGGAGAGATAAGGGCTGCGTCTGTTCCCTTCTCCTTCAGCGCAACCGCGGCCAGGCGGAGCACATGCCTGCGAGAAGGGAGTCCAGCGTATGACAAAAGGCGAGCGCTTTTTTTCTGCATCCCCCAGCGAGGCGCTTCCAGCCGCCCTTCCCGCGCCTCGCCCGCGCCGCGAAGCGAGGCGGGTGCGAGGAGACCCCGACTGCGGCCCTTCAGGGCGACGCGCACGCGGCTTCGCGCAACACACCCACCGTTCGGTGCTCTCCGCGCGAAAGCCTGCGCCGGCCGTGCGGCGAAGGCGGCCCGCGCACCGCTCCGGACTCCGCTCCGGCGTGCGTGCGGGAAGCCCTTTATAGCGTCGCTCCGCCGCACAAGTTTGGAAGGAAGTGGTTTCTGGCGGCGTTTCCTCTGCGGAGGTCCCTTTCCTAGGAGAGACTTTGCAAACCGGCCCCCGCCTCCGTTTGGCTGGGTCGGATCCCGACTCGCCACCTCACTTATCCGAGGAGGGGTCAGCCTCCTGCTTTCCCCATGCCCCAGTTTCAAAGCGGGGAGGGGGGCGAGGAGAAAAATAAGATCTCCAGCCAAAACTGAGACGCTGCCAGCGACCTAGCAACTCCCCCACCCCAAGGCAGCCTTCCCTCCCCTGCCTTCCCCGCAAAGAGGGAACGCCGAGTCCTTTAACCAGTTCCTCCCCTGGATAGGAGGAGGGGCTGCATGGCCGCCCGCCTGCCCGCTCCCCCGCCCGAGGAACGTGGATGAGGCGCGGATCGGTGCCTGCCTGCCTGCCGCGGGACAAGTGCTCCAAATCCGGGATCATCCCGGGGAGGAAGCGGAGATTCGCAAGGAAGCAGCAGAACCGCTTGGGATCGTGGCGGTGCCCCCCTCCCCTGCTCCTATTCCTTGTGGGGGAAGAGAGCCAAGGATCAAGAGCGAGCCATCGGGGACACCGCAGTCCCCTAGAGCGCGCCGCGCTCCCCGTGCCCAAACAGGCCTGGGAATGTCTCGCCGTGGTTTCTGTGGGCCTTCCCCCCCTTTCACTGTCCCCACAGAAGGGAGAAATGTCCTGCTGCTGTTGCCCCTGCTGATGTGCTCGCCCTACGTGCAAAGTTGTACTGTTCAAACGACCTCTGTAGGATCCGTGACTGCAGATAGGCAAAGGACGCAACTCCATTGCACAGGTCATCAGTGCTAGTGCCAGCATTTGGAAGGCCCATAGGTGAGATCCCCGCAATGGGCCTCTTCTGTCACGGAGTTCCCAGCGTGCTGCCTTTGACAGCAGCTTCCCTTGCTTCTCTTTTCTTGTAGCTGGTATAGCGAGAAAGTTTGTGTGTGTGTGTGTGCATGGGCTTATGTGAACACACATGTGCATGTGCACCCTGGGCTCCAAGAGGTCTGGGCGCTGCTTCCATGCAATGAACAGACACAGATTTGTGGGGACAGATTACCCAACAGAGGTTGTTGTAGTGGTGACCTCTATCCCCTTCTACTCCTATGTATTCATGGAACATGTGTAGATGGATCTGAAAGGGTTAGAGATGAGCAAAGCCTATGCACACTTTTCGGCTGCATTTGAATAGGCTATCTCTATTCTGCCAGGTAGAGATCACTTTAAAAAGCAGAGTTACCAGTTACCTGTATAAGGTCTACATGGATTAAGACATACTAAAGTAAATAATGAACCTTCGTTCATTCCTTGACTATTGGCACACAATGAATTTCAGAACAGCCACTAGAATACATTGAATTGAGGTGATCTGTTGATAACACACTCTGAAATGACCATCTTCAAATGGAAAATTGCTTTCTATACAGTCACTGGAATGCAATTTTGTGATGGCACAAGACTGTGTTAGTGAATCTTTAGGAGTGGTCAGCGTTACATGACGAGGTCACAAGAAAGCCTGTGATTTTAGTTTCTGTGGACAATTATATCCCATACAAAAGCTCCCAGAGAGCAAGTGAGCTAACAGGGAGAACTAACTGGAGTTTGGCAGCAGAGATGTTTTGAAAGAGGAGACAAAAGCAGAGGCAAAGGGGTAAGGGACCTGGACTAGCCCAGCAACAGTCTCTTCTAAGAGACTGGCAATACGCAGTCTAGAGGCTGCATGGAAACCCCTTCATTTTTGGTAGTCACTGTCTTCCCCAGACCACCCCCACAACACGCTGCTGAGTTTTGGGGCTGCTGCAACTGTGCTGCAGCTGAAGGAAGTGTGTCCGGAGAGCTGCAACTGCAAGCAAGCAGTAGCTGTGTGGGTGGGCAGATTTATTCTGGTTCCTGACTCCTAGCTGAGCAGATCAGAAACTGCCCCAGCATCCAAGCTCTCTGAGAAATCAGAGTAAGCAAACAAGGCAGTGGAGTTCAGCAGGGAAGGTCAAGGGAGAGTTCCCTAACTTTTTTCTTTATCTTTTTCTCCCTGAGTCCCCCTACCCACGTTGTTTTCTTCCTTGTAACATCCTCACTGTGTTATTGACCTTCAGATATGACAGGAGAAAGCGCTGGTTATTACAATGGCAATATAGAATCAAAAAGGTAGCAGAAAGAATGGACCAAACGAATGTCCTGTGGTGGTGACTTGCAATGTTCATGCAAAGTTTGTTTTCTTGCCTGAGGGCAACGTGGCCTGCATGTGCAACAAGTGCCAGCTTGCAGGCATGTTAGAAGAAGAGGTGAAAGCACTAGAGCAGTGACTGCCCACCCTCAGGGTAATAAAAGAAGATGAAGACATTTCAGACATAAAGGTGAAACTGCAACAGCTGAAAGTAGTACAGGAGCTAGAAGTGCAACTGCAAGCTGAGGCAGAAGAGGAAAATTATGAGGTAAGGGACATGAGAAGGAAACTCTTTGGAAAAGGGTTACAGCTAGGTGAAGAAGAATTAGAAGATACTGTGTGCTGGTGGAAGCAGAGAGCTCTCAAACCACTTTCATTTACTTGGGGATGAGACTGGAGGGCAGCCTGCAGTGGACGAGCTACAAGTCATCCTGTGCAGCACTGAACAAAGGCTAAAGGTCAACCAAGTAGTGGCAATGATACCAAGGCTTGCAAGAGCAAGAAGAGTGTTAGTCGTGGGAGACTCCCTGTTGTGTGGGATGGAAACACACGCATGTCAGGAAGACCATGGACTTGTCGGGTATACTGTCTCCCTGGAGGACAAATTAGTGATGTAACTGAAGGGATAGCCAAGGCTCGTACAGCCCATTGACACATATCCCTTCCTTCTTATATATGTGGGATCAAATGGCATGGCCAAGTGGAGCTTTGAAGAAATTACATCAGACTTTGAAGCTTTATAGAGGAAAGTCAAGAACTTTGGGGCCCAGATACTTTTCAATTCTTCCAGTTCTTGGAATTGGAACAGACAAAGAAAGAAATATACTCCAAGTGAACGCCTGGTTACAAAGGTGGTGCTGACATGAGAGGATTGGATTCTGGGACCATGGGCTACACTTCCTGGTAGATGGCAAAGGATGGGTTGCACCTTACAAGGACTGGAAAGAATGTGTTTGGTCACAGCATGAAATTTATCAGGAGGGTTTTAAACTGAATCCTGCAGAGGAGGGAGAAGTACACCTGGGTGTACCAACAGACAAAGGCTTATGCACCACAACAGAGAGAGCAGCTTTAAGAGTGCCCAAAAATAGTCTTCCCAAAATGTAGGAGGAAAGCTAGAATATAAAGCATGTGGTCTTTGATGTCTATATACTAATGCCCAGAGTATGGGAAACAAATAGCATGAACCTGAACTCTTAATACAGGAAGGTGAATACGACTGATAGATATAACTAAAACTTGGTGGGATGCCTCCCATGACTGGAATTCAATGACTGAAAGTGGATCCACAGTTGGCCACAGAATCAGAGTCAAGGAGTGCTCATCAGTGGCACCTGCTCAGACTGGGGAGAGGTAACAAGTGCATTGTTGCCAGGTTCAGTTCTGGGTCCAGTGCTCTTCAACATTTTTATTAATTATTTGGATAAGGAAGTGCAGAGAACAATTATCAAATGCGCAGATGACACAAAACTGGGACAGCTAATACTCTGAAAGAGAGAAAGAAGATTCAATGTGACTTTGATAGGTTGGAGTGCTGGGCTGAAAAGAACAGAATGAAATGAAATTCAGTAGGGATAAATGCCAAGTTCTTCATCCAGGAAAAAGAATCCAAATGCATTCTTACAAGATGGAGAATACTTGGCTCAACAATAATGCAAGTGAGCAGGATCTTGGAATTGCCGTTATTTCATGATATGAGTTAACATGCGCCAACAATATGATAGGGGTGCAAAAAGGCCAAATGCTATTTTAGGCTGCATCCTAACCCAAGAAGCAGTTGTTCCCCTTTACTCAGCACAGGTTAGGCCTCATCTGGAGTACTGTATCCAGTTCTGGGCACCACAATTTAAGAAAGATACAAAAAAGCTGGAAAGAGTTCAGAGGTAGGCAACAAGATGAGCTGGAGGATGTTCAGAGAAATTGCTTTCAAGATACAACTGGAGAGCCATCTGAGAGGGATGGTCTAAGTTGGAGTTCTGCACTGAGCAGGGGTTGGACCCAATGGCCCTCTGGCACCTTCCAAGTCTACTATGATTCCTTGAAAAGAATTTGAATGGACTGATATTTGCACTGATATATTATTGGTAATATTAATTTCATTTTTTTTATACCACACAATAGTTCTGTGGTGGTTTATAACAATTTCTAAAATAGCATCATAAATAAAAGCATAACCTTGTTTAAAATGCAGAACTTCAAGATTTTACAACTAAAACCATACTCATTGAATAAACCTGTTTATACAGCTGACCTGGGTACCCCAGTCAAGCCATTAAAATGATGTGTTTACATGTCAAAAGGATGACAGGGTTGTCACCAGGTGGACCTCAGAAGGAGACTGATCCACAGTAGGAGACCACCACAGAGAAGCCCTCCCACCGTGTTGCTACCCTCCAAGGCTCCCAGAGGTTTATCCACTGCTTCCACATTAGAAGGTAAGCCTAGGTTTGGATATTCCTGCAGTCCTTCTGCTTCTTCCTGTTG